ACACACACACACACACACACATATATATATATATACACTAAAAAATTAATTATATTTTATCTTTTTTCAATCATGTATCTTTTTCAGAATTTTGCATATTTTCAGTAATTTTATAAAACAAAATAATTACACAACTTTCTGTAATGTTTAAATGCTTAAATAAATTTAAAACAGTTGCTACACAGTTTATTATCTACTAAAATTACCTGAAAACACATAGTCATTAGGTTTTTGTCATCTTAAATTATACTTTCACTCTTTTATATATAAAGGGAATAGCATTTAAAAATTCTAAATTCTAATTCTCTTCATACAAGGTATTAGAGCATCTATATGTTCAAACAGAAACATAGTGGTCTAAATGTTTATTAAGAGAAGGTTTTTAAGGAAGTGATGATTAAGAATCCAGACAGAAATCATGATTCTTATTGATTGAAGCTCACATCTTTAAAGTTTTGGTTAGAAGTGAATTCTCAGAGTATAACTATAGCAAACACTGAAATAAAGACATAATCAAAAAATAAGCAAAAGGTTGATACATCTTCCATATTGATTGTAGAGGAAATTTTCATATATTTTTAAATATTTTCACTTTAAAGTATTTTTGAATAAATTCATTCTACAGATTCAGGACACACTAAAAGTTTCAAGTTAAAAGGCTAACCCATGGCTATCTATATGCCTCTATATACCCAGGTATACCCGATAAGAATGCTCCACTATGAAAAAAAAAAAAAGACTTGATTGGTAACAAATCATTATTTGTATGAAGGCTTCCCAAAAAAGCTCAGCTTACTAAATGGTGACCTTGCCTTATTCTCCAAGAAGAGTGCTGATAGAACTGAGATTAAACTGTCTGTCCTAATTTCGAGAATATACTAATTGATCCTAAGGTTAGACTACTGTACAGGATATCTGACAGTCATTTTGGCCACTCAACACCTTACGGTTATGAATTGTGAGTCTTCCATCTTTCACTGTAGATAACAGATACTTATCCATTCTTTCTTATAACTATAATAATAATAATATTGCATAGGCTTCATCAATGATATGTACCCATTTTGGATCTGGTGATGTGAGGAACCATGTACAATATAGAATTCATCCTGAGAATGGCAGCTGCTACATCCAGTTTTCATTGACAACCATAAAAAAAGATCTAGAAGAGCATCATAGTGCCCTGTATTAGCATTGTCCATACTGAAACTTATGGTGACAGAAATGGCATTTCCTACTCAAATCTGACTTTCTCAAATCATAGTGAGCCTACTGTCTTGAACAACAGATTTGATAAAGAGAGGAAAACCATTTCTACACCTTAACTGATCCTTCTTTTATTTGAAAGTGTAGTTGATACATAATCTTATATTGGTTTCAAGTACACAACACAGTGGTTCAACAGGGACCCATATTATTAAGTCCTCACCCTCACTAGTGCAGTTACCATCTGTCAACATAGGAAGATGTTACAGAATCATTGGATATATTCTCCATGCTGTACTGTCATACCCATGACCAACCTACATTATCATTGTGCCGCTTTATCTCCCTTGCCCTCCCCATCCACCTACCCTAACCCTTCCCTCATGGTAACCACCAGTCACTTCTCAGTGTCTTTAAGTCTACTGCTATTTTGTTCATTTTGTTTTGTTTTGTTTTTAGAGTCCACAAATAAGTGAAATCAGATGGTATTTGTCTTTCTCCACCTAGCTTATTTCACTTTTAACTGCTTTTTAGATAGTAAGAAATACACTGTTCAGAATTTTCCCATTAGTATTTTCTAAACAATAAAGATTAGGATAAAAGTTTAAGCTATTAATAATTACCCTCCTAACAAAAAGTGTAAATTAGAACTGTATGGGACAAAGGGGGATATACAGTAACCAATAATACAGAAGAGGATAGGAAGGTACTCCATGCAATAGAAAAAAAGATGTACAAGAAGTTCTCTGCTTAAAACGGAGAAGCAAAAAGTCAGATATGAACAATCTTTCCACCTCTCAAGCTAAAAATCCAACTGGGGCTAGTTAAAAGCAAGACACATAAAACCAGATAGTTCAAGGATATCCCACAAACAGAATACAATTGCTCCTGGCTTCTCAGGGAATAGTCTAGACTAAGGTCTTAAAAAGACCTTAATATTTTGCATAGTGCTGGGAAAACAATACATTCCAGGTGGTGTTTGAAAACTTACTGATGGGTCTACATATATAGACCAGAAGTGGTTTCCAAACAGCCCGTGGCTTATATCTGCACTATAGGGAAATGAGAAGACTCAACATGTTTCAGTGGTGTACATGAAAATATTAACATGTGAAGACTGAATTAGTACATGAGAGTCAGGACAATGAGGCCACCAATGTTAAGGATCTCACTGATGCTGTGGCAGAGGCCATGAATTTAGGAAGGTATATCAGGTTCACACTCAGAAGAACCACCCAGAACCTTGTACCTCAACACTTGTGGCCAAATATGACCAAATCAATCACATTACTGATAGTGAAGTGAAGGCTGAGAAGATAGTAATGTAGACTTTATACCATATGGATAGATAAGTACCCCTTGTACTAGGAATTTTCTAGGGAAGAATGAGGACAAGAAGATGCCAATTGAAGACATAATATTAACACTTTCATTATGTTTTGGCTAAAGAGTCAGTTAATATAACATGTCAAACACCCATGTTAAACTATTTTAACTCAGAAAGATTTGGACAGTCTTCAACGGCAAGTTATGTTTTCTTTTGCCTTCAGGAGGAGTAGGAGCTCAAGGACAAAATAAAATAAATTGCAGAAAATAAAGACACAGTTCTTTGCACATCTGAACAGTGGTGTGTAAAATTGAACCCTTTCTCATAAAGTGATTTTACCTTTTTAAACATATTTTCATTTCAGATAAATATCAGTCATAAGGCAAGGCATTTTATCTCTGTTCAGTAAAGAAGAAAACAGACATATAAATAAAATGACCTAAATGCTCACATGACTAATATGCAGCATCGCTGGGATTCACAACCACTCCCAATCCTTAGCTCTTTTAACTAAACCAGTGAGGAGCATACTAAAACCCAAAGACTGTATGTGGCCTAAATATATTCTTAATCTGAACTTTGATCTAACCTCAGAAATTCTCCTTAGAAATGCCATGGCCTTTCCAGAAAAATAACTTAGTCCTAAATCACACATAAGATGAGTGGCAGATCCAGATCTAAACCTGGATAGGTTGCAGTTTTAGAAATCAACAGTCTGGAGGGGAGTATAGGCACTTGCCAGCATCGATGCCTAGAAGACCCTAGAACAGTGAAACTCAGTCTGAGTGGTTGGCCAGGATGCCAAAATACACACAGTCACCTGGGAATGATGGATTCCTCCCTAGAGAAGGGTAACAGGGAGATAGGCATGAGACCGAAAGAATAAGGAGAATAAGACTGGTAGCAAAAGTCTAAACCTATGGCTGGATAAGAAGTAGGAGCAACCTAAACCTAGTTTGCAGTACTGCAAGATGTAGTGCTGTGGCTCTTGTTGGGAGGCTGGGGGGAGAGGTTAGATGACAAGGAGCAAGGAGATAAAATTCTGAAGGTTTGACACATAATACCATAAAAATGTAAATTATCAATAAACTCATACAGTATTACTAATAACACAATTCAGACATTCAGGAATACAAAAAAAGGAATACCGCAAAGAAGCTTAGAGACAAGTGATGTTTCACTTTTAAGACAGTTTACATGTCTTAACAATAAATTAATTCAAGGAAGAGTATAACCATGGTACAAGCTCTTCTAGCTTCTGAAAGTCAGGTCAAAAATGAAAGTCTCCAGAAAAACAATGAAAGAATGTTAAGTATAGTTTTATATTTTCTAATAAACTGTTACATATTTTTAACATGGCCCATAAAAATTTTATTTTTCTTGAATTCTATACCTCAGGTTTCTCATTACTGCCCTAACCTAGGCCTCTACAAACACCCTGCAGGACTAATGCAAAAGGTTGTCAAATGAAATTGAGTCAGTCACTAGGTTTGCCAAATATTCACTTCAGGATAAATTGCAGCAAGTTTTCATTCATGATATTATACAAGAATTACAAGATAAAAGTACGTCATTGTGGCTATATTTTCTATATGAGAAATCTGAGTTCAAAGTGTTTAAAGGTCATGTTTACAGCTATCAAAGCTGGCCTTTAAACCTGATTGTTTGACCACAATAGCTTAGTTTTTTCCTCTAACTATACCTTAATAATCTCCTATAAAATTTTAATTAAATAATATTTAATTGAATGATAATCTTTTTAGGTTTAAAAAGGATAAGATACTTTATATGAATGTTCCCAAATGAATCTTTTTTAAAATACAAAATTTTTTTATAATATGGAAACTTTTTAAAATTCATCTTAAAAAACAGTATTTTTGTTATAAAAAATGGTTAAAAATCATTTTGAGGTAGCTTTGATGGTCTCTTTACCTGGCCAACTGCTCTGTCTCTTTCCAAGGAGGTCAGCATTTTCTGCTTCAGTAAAGTACGGTGCTTCTCATATAACACTCTTATAGTTGGTTCATAAGATGCATAGTGTAACTTCAACCTATAAAAAATAAAGGGCATCTTAAAGGGTGAGTTGAAACAGTGATATCCATCTAATATCTAAAACTTTTTTTTTCTTTTTTTGCATTGGAAAAAAAAATTGCATAACCAAATAAAGGTCAACACAACAGAGCCAAGAAGTGCAAGAACTATTATTTGTCATACATCATCCCTGCAACCTGCATGGAAGTGGGTGATCACACTTCACCTGAGTTAACTAGTTCTCCTTTTCCTACTAGCACCTTTTGCTGTACTTAAATATATATGCAGAAGATTGCTACTATTCATTGAGAGAAAAAAAATTGAAGTTCTTTAAATCACCCCAGAAACAATTTTCAAAATGACAAAGACTACAAACAATGGATGATTAAACAAAAAGTCATTCACATAAAACTAAAGGATGTCTTGAAAACAAGCTTGACTAGTATCATATTAGCAAAATTAAGTATAAAAGTACTTTTTTATCTTATAGGAATAATAATACAACTCATCATAATAAATAAACACCTTAAAGAATTTATTTTTAATGCCTTGAAAATTTTCTTTTTTACTTTTTATTGCAATGTAATTTATATGAAGTAAAATATACAGATCTAAAAGAGTACAGAGTTTTCAGAAACATGGATACCTGGGTAGTTAACATTGTTATTAATGTGTAATCTATGTTAGAGCATTTCTAGTATCTCAGAAAGTTCTGGAACTTCATATATTTGCAATCATAAAATATGTTCTATTTTGAAACTTGCTTCTTTCAACATGTTTTTTACATTCTTCAGTGTTGTGCATAATAGTAATTCATTCCTTTTTATTGTGGGTGGTATACTCTTGTATGTATATTCTACATTGTGTTTATCCAATATCCTGCTGATGAAGAACTGAGTTGTTTCCAGTTTGGGACTGTTGTGAGTAAGACTGCTATGAACATTCTTATACAAGTCATCTAAGATAATTTTTGGTTATCTCTCCATTTCTCTTCAAAAAAAATACCTAGGAGTTGAATTGCATGACAGTCTTGATTACTCTACCTCACCAACATTTGGTGATGATAATTCTAAGGTTTGTCAAATTACTTATTTATTTTGCCTGTTTTATTATATTTTCAAACCAACATGACTTTGATTTTTGTTAACTCTTTTCAGCTTTTTTCTTAGTGAATTTTTCATTGTAAATATAATTTTCCATTTGGTTCTTTGTTTATAGCTCTCATTTCACTTCTGAAATTTCCTATTGTTCCCTCATAAAAGTCATCATTTTCTTTAAAACTCTAAATGTCTCATTTAGAGTCCTTGTCTACTAATTCCATTATTTCTGTCATCTCTGGGTCTATTTATTTATTTTTTTCCTAATTATGAGACACATTCCCCTGGTTCTTTATATGTATTACATATTTTATTGTATGTTGGATATGTTGGATATGTTTGTCTAGACTTTGTTATCTTCTTTTAAGGAGTTTTTTTCTGGCAGACAATTTACTGATGAGTGAACTTGAGCCTTTCAAAGCTTATTTTAAAGCTCTTTATAGGGTAAGTCTAAAGTAGTTCCTTTTCTGGAACTAGAATATCTCTACTCCTATGGCATGGTTTACCAGAGGTCTTAAGGGCTCAGAGTTTCAGTAAATTTCCTCCATTATAGCTGGTCAGAGCTCATATCTGCAACTTCTGGGATCTCCAGTTAGCTCACAGTTTCCCAGCTGTTCTTTGCAGGCCTCATATCTTCTCACCATGTTATTTACACAACTTAGTGTGTGGTCAAAGACTAAAGGGAACCATTACTGATACTTCTTAAGTTCCTTTTCATGCACTTCCCTCCTTTGGTGTACTCTGCCTTACAAATTCCAACAGCCCTGAGGTATAATTCAGTTCCCAATTCTACTTAGTGTGCTTTATATACACTTTGCTACACAATTCCATGAACACTATATATTTGTATATACATATTCAGATACAGAGTTACATACACAAAACAATGTATGCTATAATTTATAGATAATTGAAGGGTTATTATTGGTGGCTCAATTTTTCCTTTATTTACTGACTTTGGCATCTAACTCATTCATGGGATATAATCTAACTATATTTTATTGAAAGAATTAGCAACATATAGAACACCACTAGAGTATAACATGGATAGAAACATGGACACCTGGGTAGTTAACATTGCTATCAATGTTATCTATGTTAGAGCATTTTATATTTTATATATAAGGGAACAACATTCAGAGAAACCTGTTAAATTAGTTTGAAAGAGTGGGTCTGTTAGTGTAAGTTCTGTAAGTACCTCGTCATTCATCTGCTTATAATTTTTGGTATTGATAATTCTGAAAATAAGTACTTAGTAGTTAAGATACACATGTTAAATGGGAAATACTGTAAAACTAATAGGTAAAATCAACTAATCATCAACTTACATAATTTACAGAAAAAACTAAGGTCAACATTTTGTGGTTTACAATGAAAGAAAATACAGACACATAACTGAAATATTTGAGCAAAACATGACATAAACTCAGATCTCACTTAGACTGGTATCAAAAACACTCTTCCCTATAGCTGACTAATTATATAATGGAACAATTACCAGACAATGTATTCGCTAATGACAGATTAACTTCATGACTAGTTTTTTTGTGACTCTGATGGCAACATTGAAATTTTGTGTTAGATCCTTACATAACATACATTAGTGATACATCCAGATGTTTAAATGGAGATAAACATTCTTAATGATTAAATGTGGAAATAAAAGCTATCTGAATACACAAGTATAGTTGTATTACAAGGTAATATGGTTTCTTCTCCAGGCCTCTGAAGATTACAAAAAGTATATCTGAAAATGCTGAATTTTTACATGAAATATATCATTATACTATTCTTTTTAAAAATACTAGAAAATTTAACAAGTACAATGTATTTTCAAACATAGATTAGAAACTAAAAAAACTAAAAAATAAAAAAAATCTCAAAATCAGAGAGAACATCTGAGCAGCCAAGAGTGAACAATCATACTTCAGCTGCCACAACTGAATACAAAAATGCTCTCAGACTGTTATCAACCTAAGTAACTAAAGTAATGAAACCTGCTTGTATTAGTACAGACAGTGAGAATAGACTCAAATCTGAGATATTTCCCACAAAAGATGCTATGATTCAAACTCACTTATCATATGTACATATAATCACATACATACACACAGGCACACAAACTGCCAAAATACCTTTGGGCTTTTTCCTCTAAGCAAATGGGTACCTAATCCTAAAGGCACAGAAATTATTTATATTTGGGAAAAAAAAAGGCTTAGCTACCATTAAAAGACTTCCACATGACTTCAGAAGAGCCAAAGGACTCTTTATTGTCCTCAGTATAGAACAATTCCCAAAATTAAGAGAATGTATTTTTAAAACAAAATACAATATATACTTCCATAAAGAGACCTGTATAAAAATGCAAAAGGGAAATCTAGATGAAATAGCATACATTCAACACATAATTTCAACGTTGGGGTATATGCAAAGTATTTACCATCTATTGTGTTCCAGGCACTGTACTTTATACACATTAATCCAAAATACATTATCACCATTTTTACAAATAAGAAACCAAACTACAATGGGCACCAAAAGGTAAGTGGTAGAGCCAGGCTTCCAAGATTTACCTGACTCCAAAATCCAAGCTCTTTCATTACATTGTCTACTTCTCAGTTAGTGTTTATGCTAAGAGGAAAAATCACTTTGAACATTTTTTTCTGAATTTCTCTGGACACACTATGAACCAAAAAAAAAATTTAGACTGGAATATGAGACCAAAAGATGATTATAGTTGAAGAATAAGCATTCTTAAGGCCTTTTTTTAAGTCAGTACAATCTCTCTTTTAAAGTAGTACTTTATTCCTATAGTATGTTCAATTTAAGAAATGAGAAAAAAATTTAGGTCCTAATATGTTGCTAAGCTGAGAGTACATTGATTCTGAAGATCCACAGGACAACATGTGACTAAGAAATGATAACACTCATAATAACCATAATCACCTACAAAAGACAACAATTATCATTACCATCCCTAAGCTGTGTTGTCCAAAGCAATAGCCACTCACCAAGTGTGGCTATTTATTTTAAACTTAAATTTATTAAAATTAAATAAAATTAGAAATATAATCCCTCAGTTGTACTAGGTACACTGCAAGTGCTATTTTAATAGCACATATGACTACGGGCTATTGCATTGGATGATGCAGATATAGAATATTTGTAACATCACAGCAAGCTCTATTGAACAGCACTGCCCTAGAAAAGCAAAGGAGAGTTTTAAAGATTACACATTCATATAATGTTTTTCTTATTTTTTTCCCTAAAAGAGGACAGAAAGTAAATCTGGTATCTCTAGAATAATTTCTACAAGCTGTAGCATAAATTCAAGGCCATTCATTTATGCCCCCATCCACCCCAACCTTGTCAAGCCATTTCTGCACTTTGCTCTCTATTCTTACAATTTGATGAACATGCTACGTTCCTTTATGACTTGGTGCCTTTGCATAGGATGTACCATCTGCCCATAGTACCTTGTTCACCCCATTCCTTCACTCTGTTAACTCATACTTTAGAATTCATTTCCTCTAGAAATAGGCCTTGAACCAGCTCATGCTCCAATCTGGTTGGGGTAACCACCTCTTGGTTGGCATAGCAACAATGCATTTCAGTGTATTTCTGTTTAACCCAACCCTATCACACATCCCAAAAGTCTTCTGGGAACCCTAATGGGAAGGATTGAAACTTATTCATCTTTGTATTTTGAACACATGGTATAGTGCTGCTGTACAGTGGATCTCAACAAATGTTAAATATCTTTACCTGAAACCTTCTGCCATAGCCAAGCTGTTTAACACTAATTAAACATCTCTTTAATAAATATGATGAAAAATATTAGCAGCTTACCCTTTGAGGTCATTAATTAATTTGTTTCTTTCCTGGACTACTCGTTTGTGGTGCATTCGATGAAAATCACGTTCTTTCTGAGTTTTCAGCAGATCTTCCCTAGCTTTGCTGAAGAATGAATAAATGAATAAATAAATAAAAACTTTAAAAATCATTTTCAACCCCTTTCTGAAAATTATCAGTTCAAATCCAGTATTGAGCAATTCAAAAGCTAACTGGAAAACAAAGATTCCATTATAATTCTCACTGAAGGATCCCAAGCAACATGATATATATGGGGGCTGGGAGATGAATGAGACAAAACTTACAGTTGCAAAATTATCATTCATTCACATTTCATTCAAATAAAAGGAAATTAAAGGTATGATACCAAAATAACTTACAATCCATCTACTTCCAAAGAGAATTTGTTTACAAAATTGAAATACATAACAGATAATTCAAAATAATTACAAATAAAGGGAAAGAGATACAAAAATTTAATTCTAAACATGCTTGAATATATGGTTAGAAGAGAATGTACTGGGTTACTTAGTAAAAAAGAAAGCATATAAATTCTGGAAAACTAAGATTTTATTCTGTGATGCATATGAGAAATATATGTCGCCTGCAGAAGATACTCCCAGAATACTTTTTAACTTGATGAGAAAGGTTTTCACCATAAATGGTAACCAGAAGCATTCCTCAGTTGGATATACCTTCTACAAACCCTTGGCATAAGGCAAACAAGAGAATTCTAAGATGGGGCTGTATGTGAAGAATCACTCAGGATGTTTCACCCACCTTTATAATGGAAGTTAGTTTCAATATAGTAATGTAAAATATAATTTATAATGAAAGAGAAGTTATCTAACAGTTAACTGACAAAGTGAGACTGCACTAAGACACTCACATTCTGAAAAATGGATGGGCTGAATGAGAGTGCTGACAACTTGCAAAGGGATCAGAATGGAATAAATCTGCCTCTCTGTATCACAGTATTTCATAATTCAGATTCACATAAAATAAATGCACACAGAGAGATTTCAGCTGTAGGAGCTATGTCAGAGCAATCACAGAGCAGTTGAATGGAATGCTGCCAAAGAAGCGGAATGAACTTAGGTTTTCAGGCTCCTGATCAAGCTCATTATGATCAGTGAGACTTGCTTGCTGCAAGATCATGTCATATGTAGCATATGGTGAAAGTATCTCATCCATTCTGTAAGTTTCTTTCTTTTTGCTTTTGTTTTTTTGGATCGACTATATTGTTCCTTATTTCGCTGCCAATATTTTAGTCTTTACTGTATGCAAATATCACATATCAATTCCTGCAATATTTTAGTCTTTGCTGTATGTAAATACCACATATCAATTCCTAACACCTAGCCTTCAACTTCATTTTCATAACAATAGTCTTGAAGGTACAAGAAATTGTTGATTAAAACATTCATTCCTTAATCGCATTGTTTTTTCAAAAAAAAAAGAAAAAGAAATAAAGAAATAAAATATTCATTCCTAAAAAATCATCTGAGAAACATTCAAGTTATTAGATAAACAAACAACTTTTTCTTTCAGGTTTTAGCCCTGTATGTGTGCATAAAGATGAACCAAAACAAAGAGACCCTCTGCCATCACCATGTGCCTAATGAGTAGTAAGTGAAGAACAGAGAGAATGTAAGTAGAGCGACTAGAAAAGAAATGGCTGAGTTGGTATTTTGTTCGGAAAACACAGTATCATCTGAAGCCTCACTCATTTAGGAGAAAAGTAAAGTGGCATACATATTGTCTTGCACATAGAAAATACTCAGTGAATGTTACTGTAACCAACACCATATTATTATTATTTTTTACTATAGTAGAGCAGATACATACAATTTCTCTAACAGCTAGATTTATCTACCTAAAATAGGGGACATGCCAGTAAGTAAATGTCCTCTAATTGCTTGAACATTATCAGGATACATGATTACTAACACTGCATATCTTTATAAAAGAATTAAAACTTCTATGAACATCTATTTTGAGTATATTAAACTGTCTTATTTTCAACTTGATGAATTATATAAAGGACCTCATGTTTTATTTATCTCATCTAAAATGTAAACCCATAACAGGTTAAAAAATACTTAGAAAAATAATGCTGTAAAATTTCTTAAGCAGAACCACAACTGTGCAGCATTGCATCAACTTACTTTTTAAATATACATTTAAAGGCCTATTTGGACTTATCTCAAGAAAGCATAGGAATTGATTGAAGTATTAGACCTTAAAGTTTTTCTGACCATTAAATTGGTTTTCAGAGACTTGCTTTCTATTTGCACAAATGAAGTCAACTCAGTAAAACAATTTAAATTCATTTCATGGTGATGCTTCTCCTATTATGACCTACCTGCTGCCCATCTGCTCAATAAAATTCAAATAAAATTCATACTAAAAAACAAAGTTTAAAATATTCATATAAGGAACTAATATTTTAAACTATATAGTATTTTATTATATTAGTAGATCATCTTTGGGATTAAAAGAAATTGTTCAAGACAGACACCAGACATTCAATTTCAAGTGTTATGAAGAGTTTAGTGAAACATTCTATTTAGATTTGTGTTTAATAAAGAACACACTCCTTACCTGTCTTTTCTTAATGAGATGACAGAATGACTATACAACTTTCCCACTTCAGGAAATCAGCATATCAAATATACAATTAAAGTATAAAATATTAAGATACTCATATTTCTACCATACCATAAAAGCATTGTCCCCAAAACTCCATGTTTCAACATGTGAATGTGATTTAACAGTTTGTTCTAAAACTTTATTTTTAAGTGTATGCCGCCAGTAAAATAATTATTAACTGAGTAGTTTTAACTAAGTATTCTGGAATGGCCATTTATTGGGTTATTTTATTGTCATAACATGGCAAAAGGAAGCATACAATTTCCTGCTTAACTGCACCAATAAAAGTAGGCCATCTTTGTCATGTATTTTTCTCATGTGCAAATGAATCAAGGTAATTTCTGATAAAGCACAATATGATTAATAATTATTTCATTATCTTCAATTGGTTGTAAATGAATTTGTTTAAACCACTAAAATTAATATTGGAGTAATTATTGGATAGCCAAAATTGGATTCAACCAGATTAGAGGAAATCTTTCATTATATTCTTTGCCAAAAAAGAAAGGGGTATACTCATGTCCAAAAAAAATACCTTCTTAATTTAACAAGGAATTACCTGAACACTCAAGCATGAAATTTTATGGGACTAATTATTGCCTTTATTTCCATAGTGTTTGTTTCTGAAAGTCATTAAATTAAACAGGTCTTTGGAAAAACTGGGTACTCTTTGACCTTTTATAGAAGTGAATTTTAGAAGTGAAATTAGGACCACTTAGTAAAGCACCCAATTTTTCCTCAATATTTAATTTTAGCTTTCTTTACATTTTCTGCCAGAAAATTTTAACCTTCAAAATGGTACATTTGAATCTTCTAATTTTTAATCTCAATCAGTTATTTCCTGTCAAATTTTTAGGACTTTATATAAAGATTTTCTGTTTTGCATTATATTTCCTTCATATAAAATCCCAGCAATGGAAGACAGTGCTCTAAATAGGATAAGACTTAGCTTTATAGAAAATTGTTTAAATTCCCATAATGAAAAGGAAAATGATGTCTACTCCAAAGGAATGTTATACAAGAGGAAAAAACCACCAATTAACTACTCTAAAATTAATTAAAAGCTTAACTGAATAGCAAAAATATAAATAGCACAACTTTATTTAAGCCCCTGCTATTTGCTAGGCACAGATATAGGCCCTGAGGATATACTGAGTACAAGACATAGTCTCTATTATACGGAGCTCAAAAAATAACAACAAAATATATACATTAGATAATCAGATGTAAAAAGTATAAATTTCAAGGCCTTTCATAAATATACAGTATTAAATTAAAGATTACCTTAATAATTGGAGATATACTATGTAAATACAAGACTAAAACTTAAGAATACATCAACCCTTCTCCCAAAAAAATATGTATATATGTAAATATGTATATACACATATACACATACATAAACACACATACACACTCACAAATACACACTCACAAATATTCTTCCAAATGAAGTTATAGATTCAACTCAATCTCAGTCATAATCCCATCCCTGCCTTTCTAGAAATTGACAAAGTGACTCTAAAATTCATATGGAAATACAAAGGACCTAGAATAGTCAAAATATTTAAAAAAGAAGAACAAAGCTGGAAGACTAACACTATCTGACTTTAACAATTTACCTAAAGCTACATTAATCAAGAGTGTGATATTAGCATAAGGACAAACAAATAGATAAATGGAACAGAATAGAGTCTAGAAATAGATCCACAATCATAGGGTCAATTGATTTGTCAACAAAAATGCCATATAAATTCAGTGAAGAATGAAAAATCTTTTTAAGAATGGTGCTGGAACAATAGGATATTCTTATAGAAAAGAAATTAACCTCTAGGTCCTACCTCACACCATATGCAAAAATTAAAGATAGATCATAGGCTGAAATAAAAATTCTAAATATTTTAAGATTTTTAGAAGAAAACATAGGAAAATATCTCTATTACCTGGGAATAGGCAATGGTATCTTACACAAAAATATCAAAAGCAATGCTGTAAAAAAGGTATATTAAACTTCATCAAGATTTAAAACTTATGCTCATTCAAAGACACCATTAGGACACTTAAGAGTCAAGCCATATGTTGGGAGAAAATATTCACAATATTCTGACCAAGGATTTGTATCCAGAATATGTAAACAATTTTTATAGCTCAACAGTAAGACAAATAATCCATACAAAAATGAGCAAAAGACTTACACAGAAAGCAGTATAGATGAATGGCCAATTAGCACAACAAAATGTGTTCACTAACTTATCAGGAAAATGCTTATAAAAACTACAACAATCAGCCACTGTACAACCACCAAGATTGCTAAAATTAAAAAGATTACAACATTTAATGTTGGTGAGAATGTGGAGCAACTGGAACTCTCAATATTGCTAATGAGAATATAAAATGACCCCACCTGAATGCTGGAAAATGGATTGGCAGTTTCTTATGAAGTTAAGGAGGCA